TTTTTTTAACTGAACATGAAAGATGCTATTTACACTGCTCCCTGGAAGAAAAATAAATTGTAAAAAATTGTTACCCTAAGAAGCCAGATTGTATTGTCCCTAAATATGCAGATTACTAAATTATAATAGCCTAAAAAGTCTTCCTTTGCATCATAAAAATAATTTGCTTCCGTGTGGAAAGGTTTTAATGAAAAACAGGGTTAAGGTGTGATACAGAAATACAATGGTTTGCATTTTTATCCTATGCAGAGAAGATAGTAGCTTTCTGTTGTTTACCTCAGCCTGGGGATTAGGTAGTATTGTAGCCTCAATGTTTGAAATCAGTGCCTGAAAAGAATGAATCCCTTAAATCAGCATATTCCTACAGAGTTGTGGGGCTGGTTACAAGTACACAGGTCAACCTAGAGGCCATATGACCTGTTTCCTCAGAGACTCACAGGAACTGACAAGTAAGGAGGGTAAGGCTGTCACATTTTCATCAAGTGACATCTTGGGAGGTCTGGACAGGAAAGGTAGCAAAATGCGAAAGGATGCACAGAACAGGCTGGCTGGGATCATCTTTTTTCTCCAAAAGCATTTCTAAATGTCATTTTTCACCTGATGGAATTGTAAAGCTAACTCCCCTGTCAGCTGTGCATCTACTTGGTGGACCCTTGTGGTACAATGCTTGCTCCCCTGTACAGCTCTCATCCTAAAGCAGCCAGGAGCTTCGGTGTGACTTGCCCTGTTAGATGATGCCAGCAAGTCAGCTCTGGTGAGGCAGGACCTGTTTGCAAGCCAAGGTCTCTGCTGAATTTATAAAATCTCCTGGGTGTGAGAGGTGTGAAGATGGCACAGCTGTTTCCCCATTACTTGCTTGCAGTGAAGATGACTTCTTCCCCTGTTGCCTCCACACAGCCTTCCTTTCCTCCCTAGCAGTCATGGTCACACAACACAAACATCATCCAATAGTACTCCCTGTTTAGTGCAAATAACTCCATCTGCTAGAGAGAATAGTGGCCAGTGCAGCACCACATCAGACCCATGGCCCCCAGGCACCCCAGGATTTACTCTTTAACTGAGGTGAATAGCACAACTGTGTGTGCTTACAGCTAAGCATACATTTCAGAGATGTGATTTACCAGTGCTTAAAATACCATAATCCACTAGCCAACACAGGCTTGAATTCACATAGCCAAAAACGCTAATAATGGAGGAAGTGAGACATAAAGTTAACAGGAACATTGAAAAATAATTTTTAGACACCTGGTTTCTTTTCTTAAAAACACATCTGCATATTGGTTTTACAGCAAGGATTTGGAAACAAAAGCTGTGCATAAAAGGATGTTTTAGCCTGGTGATGCTTCCTGTTTGAAGAGAATGAAATTCTTTCCACATCACATGAAGCCTTTCAGAATTGCCATTAACTTTCTACATAAAGCACCCCCTTAAAAAGATTCCTGACTCAAGCACCAAGCCCAGATAGAATGTGTTTTCCCTACCTCATGATGCAGGGAAACCAAATGCTGCTAAAATCCATTTATGTTTTGAAAAACTGGGGAGTCTTGGTCTTAACATCATAAGCAGAAGAGTCATAAAGCTTGTTTTAAGAGACGGCAGCAGCAATACACAAATAGTTTTTTGATGCTGGGTAAGTAGTTTCTATACAGAAGTCAGTCTGCAAGAGAGTAGCTGGAGTGAAGAAGAAAGTTCATTTTCTACAAGTAAAAAGGTAGATTTTTTTCCCCCATGACCTACACTCTTGTTCCTGTGTCCATTTAACATGTGTTTCAACAGTGTCATTTAGTATTTCCTTTCCTCTTAATATCTTTGCAGCATACCAAAGTGTTAAATGTTTTAATCATGAAAGCTTTTCTCAAACCCTACGTGCCTAGAAGTGTCCCTCATCCTGTCTAGTCTAATAAAAGCTGTTACCTGTTACTCTCTAATATTCACCACATTACAAAAACACCACCACAAATCACACAGCTAAAGAGACCTCCCATGTGTTTTGAAATGAAAGTTGTATGCAGAAAAAACTCTTGAATTTAGAGAAGGATATTTTGTACTAAGGCCTAGCGTTAGGTCTGGTTGGCCAGCCAGAGAAGCTATAAGCCACTGTCTGAATTGTATTCTACATCTCCCAAAGGAGAAGTTTAATATCCATGTAATAATTGATTTATAAGCCCTGTACCTTGGCTCCATCCCTGCAGTGCATTGCCACACCAATGTGTGGATTAATAAGCATTACAGTTCAGGTCAGAAGTATACCTTTGCAGTGGATTTTCTGTTCATTGCCTCTTGCCATGCCTCATCGCTCATCATGGAGTAGGCACCAACATCATTCCTTTTGGAGGACAACATCACTCCTTTCATATGCCATCATTCCAGGAGATTTTTTTTCAGCAGCGAATGAGCATCAACCCTATAGAGCCACTCTGCTGCAAAAAGAAGGCCCTCAAAATGCTTCAGTGGTGGACAGCACCTCCCCAGCACCAGTCAGATGCAGCTGCCCTGGCTGCCCCTGCCTCCTACTAGGCTGTACCAGGGGTGGCCACCACCGTGGACCCAAGGTGGAATCCAGCTTGCAAGCCCTTGCTGGCGCCCTTACGTATTGGGTTTGCATGGCCTGGGGCTTTGGTAGCAGAAGGGGTGGGCTCTGTGAGAAGCTGCCTGAAGCTTTCCCCATGTCCAGCAGAGCCAGTCTCTGGTGGCTCCAAAGATGGATGCGCCACTGACTGGCTGGGCTAATTAGAGCTGGTGATAATGCCTCTGTGATAATAGATTTAAGAAGAAATCAAAACAAAAAATTGTGTAGTTGTAACTGTGGCCAGTGAAGCGTGGAGTGAAAACATGTGAGAAGAACAATTCTGCAGACACCAAGGTCAGTGAAAAGGAGGGACAGGAGGTGCTCCAGGCACCAGAGCTGAGATTCCCCTGCAGCCCGTGGTGCAGCCCACGCTGAAGCAGCTGTGCTCCTGCAGCCCATAGGGATCTACAATCTGCAAGGATGCAGAGATCCACTCACAGCCCATAAAGGAGGCCTGCACTGGAGCAGGCAGATACCTTGAAGGAGGCTGTGACCCTGTGGGAGGCCAGTGGAGAGAGGGCCTCTGCTGCCAGGCTGGAGGATCCTGTCCTTGCAAGGACTGCACCCCATGGAAGAGGGACCCAGGCTGAAGCAGTTTTGGGAGGACTGCTGCCTGTGGGATGGACTCGCATTGCAGCAGTTTGCAGGGAGCTGCTGCTCATCAGATAGAGCCACGTTGGAGAAGTCCATGGAGAACTGTCTCCTGTGGGAGGGACCCCACGGTGCAGCAGGGGAGCGACTTCTCTCCCCGAGCAGTGGGAGAAGCCTCGGGTGATGAACTGACCACAATCCCCATTCCCTGTCTCCTTGTGCCACTGGGGTAGGAGGTAGAGCAGGCAAGGAGGGAGGGGTGGTGGGAAGCTGTTTTTTCAAGGGTTTGTTTTACTTCTCTTTATCCTGCTCTGATTTGTTAGTAGTAAGTTCACTTCATATCTCTAAGTTGTGCCTGTTTTGCCCATGATGGCATTTGCTGAGAGATCTCTCCCAATCCTTATCTCAACCCTTGAAACCTTTGCTAAATTTTCTTTTCTCTCTCCAGCTGCAGAGGGGAATGTGTAAGCAGCTCATGGGTAGGTGCCTGGCATGGGGCCAGCGTCAGCCCACCCCCAACCCCCCCCAATTGTCACTTCAATAAGTCAACAAGTATTTTGCACATCACAAAAGTATGTGAGCTTTTGTTGCTTTTAAGTATTCGAAAAGAGCTGCTCTGTCAGCTCCTGGATCTTACAGTGGTTACAGCGAAGAGCTCCACTCCTGGCAGCATTGGTCACTCCAGCTGTCCTACCAGAGGCAGGCAGTATGGAGGCTGTTTACAAGCTTTCAGCAGTGGTATGTTTAATTGCTTAACCCTCTATTATTTCCTCCTGAGAAGGAAAAGAGTTCTTTAGCCTAGAAAATTATGATTCTGGAGCAGTGGAAATAAGCTGCAGGAAATATGGCAGGAAAGACAGTTTTAACTGTGTGACCCTTGTGCTCAGGTCTCAGGTGGGACACATAACCATGGAAAAAACAATGTCCCACTGTGCCTGCCTGATTAGGAAATCATCCACTAGCCAGGGAGGCATTTTGCACCTTTCTAGGACACCACAGGCATGGTTCTGACAGGAGCTCAGTGCCACTTGCAATAGGGATGAGATCCAGTAAGGGACATTTTAAAATCATCCTCAGTGTGCTCTTCACTTACAGTGTCAAATTTCAAATCTCACTGCAGGAGGGGGTGTGATTTCAACACAAATGCCTGTGGCAAAACTTATTTATTGGCAGAAGAGAGTTTATAAACAACTTAGGGTATTCTTCATCTGATTTATGCTGAGAAATCCCAGACACCTTGAGCAGAAGTAAACTAGGATGAACACATATTTTCACTCTGAAAGTAGTGTCTATATTTCACAGGGGCATGAAAACCCACACATTTCTATATAGTAACTAGAAAATTCTTTCCTCTATCTGAAATAATTTAAAGTTCTCCTTTTTTACTGTGCTCTCATCCATTCTTATAATTTGATGGAGTTGATAGCATTGCTGTAGTGCTGATGATTTAAGCATAAAAGAAGCATTATAATCTTGCATTTCTTCCCTCCAGTAAGCTTTCAAAACATTGCTCTGGGTTGAGGAATAAATTATAGAGATTTACAGACTGCCTTATTTGTACAAGTACAATAAAACAATTTAGGTTAGGTTAGGTTAGGTTAGGTTAGGTTAGGTTAGGTTAGGTTAGGTTAGGTTAGGTTGGGTTGTGCTAGGCTGGGCTGACTGAGGGTCAGGGCAAATGCAGTGGAGATATTTGCGTGTAAAAACTTCTTTCTCGGGAAGTGCAGTGCTGTTCCTGCTTAGCGCTACATAGGGTGACGTGGTGGGGTGGGGTAAGAGGAAAGAGGAGGGGTGTTCTAACAAACAGCTGTTACAGCTGCAGAGAGGAAAAAGGAGAAAGCTCAGGAGCAGCAGCAGCAATCCGACCCTTGCAACAGGTAATACTTCTTGAGTGCAGGTGACACAGACTGCTCAAATGCAAAAACGAAAGGGGATAAAGAGTGGGTGGGATGTGACTGTGGGAGAAAAGTACAGCAGCTGTACTCAGAAGCTCTTTTCTTCCTGAACTACAGGGATTGCAGCTTGTCACAGGTGGGAGGGGGAAGATGAAGTTCAGAACAACATGACTTAATGTGACTTAGAAGGAAACTATGTATGCAGAGGGAATTTTCTAGTAGATCTTGCTTTCTGAGGAAAAAAAAAAAAAAAGGAACATTGCTCTCTAGTTTCAGCACGAGGGCTGGTTCCTCTTGCGTGGTCAGCCAGCACGGGCACACGGGAAGAGAGCCGAGCACAGGAGTCCTGAGGGGCAGGGAAGTGCTCTGTGCATGCAGGCCTGGGCGGGACCCTCCTTGTGAAACAACTCCGAGAGCAACAGAGGGGTAGCCTTCCTCCTGGGACCCTGCAAGGGACACACAGATGGGGCAAGGGCTGACCTGATCTAGGTGCCTCTGCTGTGCTGTCACCTTAGCTCATGGGGGAACAGGGTCCTGACCACCCTTCAGACCATACTTGCCTTGTATGATAGTTACCACAGAGACACACTGAAGACCTTTGTGATAAAAATAATAAAATGCAACAGCTACACTTTGTGAAACTTCTGCCCAAGGAAATACAACAGGCTTTGCAACTAAAATGATAAAATCTTTACTGTGTGTGCTGACATTTCTTACATTTCATCTAGTTTTCTGGGTTTTGAGCCCACAGAGAAAGCAGGTAAGTTTTCTGCTAAGCAAGGCTGATATTACATATGATAAGTGCATCCCTAGCATTTCAAAGCATTTGGCATAAAATCAGCCACAGTAAGTAAGGTGAAACCGACAATTAAAACAGCAGACAGCAAGTGCAGCCTTCTGGGTCTATCTCCTGCAAGATCTGTGTTTGTTTCTTTCTCCTGTCATCAATGTAGAGTGCTATGACCACCCTCTCCCCACAATGCCTTCAAATGAAAGAAACCTGAATGTCTCAAAGCAAATCACAATACAAGGGAGAGATGTGGCAGCAGGTCAGGCACCAGGGTAGCAAAGTGAGGTTTAGAAGACAAGCCAGCAAGTCTGAGGCAGGCTCAGGGCCTGAACCACTACCTGATGGATGGTCTGTGTTTTGTCTGCAGCAATGCTGCAGAAGCAGGTTCTGGGAGTGAAATGTGGAATCATCCCTGCTGTGAACCGATGAGAGCAAGGGATCTAAATAAAGACCATCTCTTCTGCCCTTCACATTTCACATAGAAGCCAATGCCTGAATTTTGTGTTGTGACACAGAGCTGTTGGGACAGGGAAATAGGTTATCTTCAGCCCGCTTCTGTTTCTATAGGTTAATAGGTCAGCCTTTGGCTGAGAAGGTCCTTGGTGAAAAGTTGCATTTCAGCTTCCTTTTATCACACTGAAATCACCTTTCAGTCTCTTCAGATTTCTTCACTTCTGCGGAAAGCTTTTGTTTTGTCTTAAGTACTTTTTGTGTGGGGTTTAACAAAGTAGGCTGAAAAACTGTGACGCATTCTCAGATCAGGGCTGTTTCCTCACAGTGCAGAATTTCAGCAAGGGAGGGAACTGTGCTGCTCACAGCTCTGGGGCCAGGATCTGTCCGCCACATAACACCAGCACACTGCCCAGCACCACATCTCTACACCCCTTGGGGAATATGGGGCCCTCCATTAATGTCAACAGTCTGTACACATTTCAGCAGTCACTGGTATATTTTAAAGATGATGTGTTCTAATGTGCAACAGCTGCCACACTGCCAAAACACTAATGTGAGGCTGAGTTTACAAATAGTACTCCCTGTTTAGTCAAGATTAAGTACCTTAAGAACTGCAAAAACAACAGTTTTCTAGCCAGCCAATGCAGGAAGACTTTGGAAAATACAACCAAATTACTGAAAGACAGGCTCTGAGGATGACAGAATGATGTAGCAAACTAAACTTCAGAAGAGAGAAACCATATGCTCAGCTTGCATCCAGTGCGAAGCCCACACAGCTGTATCAGACCAAAGAGAGTGGTGGAGCTGCTGACAGGAAAGCCTCAAGATTTTCATATCTGCTCCTCTAACTTCCGTACAGTAATTCCTATCCATCCAGTAATAAGGCTGTTTCTTAACACAGAACATAGCTCTTAATTTTTTTTCTTTTTATAATATATAGTTTCCCACCTTTTTCTTACCACAAGATGGAACAAAGTGTCATTCAGTAACAAAATTTGTGTTAAACTGTAATTGATCTCACCGGACTTTACTTCAATTCAGTTGTATCTTACTTTTCCCAAAAGGAAGGTATATATGGAACAGATTCCTTTGTTTGGGTCCTTATATGGCTTATTTTCACAGTATCAAAGGACAATGATGTCTTTTGGGAAATATTTTTTTCACACAATTTTTTTGTGCTTGTAGAAGAGATGATGTGAATAGCTGTCATCCTACATAATTGAAGGTGAGGAAGACAAGCACTTTTTATGACTTCCATGGGATTTACTTACAATAAAAATTTAGGAGATGAGTTTAACTAGATCAATTTAAATAACTCTGTATTGTTACTTCTGATCCAATGCTAGGAATGAAGCATAGGCATTTATCAAATTTATATAGTTTTGAACAGAGAAATTTATTCCATTTGTTAATGTACAGATACAGATGATGAAGTTTTTTGGCAGAGACATGCCACAAGAACACACAGGATCAAGGCACAACTTGAAGCGAATACTGCTTATTAGGGCAGGAAATTAATAGGTCCAACACAGGAGATAAATTCTAGTACAAAATTAACAAGTTCATTTCCTAAAAAGTAATCTTACAGCTGGAGGACAGGTAAGTCTCTCTTTTAAGAATAGACCAGAAGAAAATACATTTATGGGAAATTAGGTGTATCCAGAGTTCATGAAGTTTTGCAAAAAGTCAGATTGTCCATGAAAACTAGGTTAGAATAGCTACAAAAGTTAGAAGATTTTGTTTATTAAATGCAACTTGAATCCAGAAGTTAATGGAGTGCCTTTGTTTAGATACTTCTTCCTCTAGAGGCACAAATTTCACTTTATGGCCACCAGACCACCCTAATGATTGGTGGGAACTCTGAAAATTTTTCCGGGCATATCCTAAGTATAGCAACAAAGGGAGCCTTTCATCCATTAGACACAGTTCTGTTCTGGGACCTCTGAGAGACACACAGAGTTTTCACTGATCTGTTTACATTTCACAGACTCAAACAATGCTTTGGGTTGGAAGGGACATTAAGAATTGTTACGTTCCACTCAGCTTCATCTAGTTCCAACACCCATCTCATGGGCAGGGACACCTTCCACTAGGCCAGGTTGCTCAGAATGCCATCCTTCTTGCAGCCTTGAACACTGCCAGGAATGGGGCATCCACAGCTTCTCTGGGGAACCTGTGCCAGTGCTCCACCACCTTCACAGTAAAGACTCTTTCCTTAATATCTAATCTTGCCTGCTGTCTTTCAGTCTGACACCATTCTCCCTTGTCCTGTCACTACATGCTTTTGTAAAAAGTTCTTTTTAAAGTTTGCTCCAGGTGCTGGAAGACTACAATTAGATCATCCTGAAACCTCTTCTTCAGCCTGAACAATCCCAATTGTTTCAGCCTTTCCTCACTGGAGAAGTGCTCCATCCCTCTGATCATCTTGTTGACCCTCCTCTGGACTCACACCAAGAGACTGATGTCCTTCCTGTGCTGGGACCCCAGAGCTGATGCAGTATTGCAGGAGGGGTCTCAGCAGAGCAGAGCAGAGCAGAGGGGCAGAATCCCCTCCCTGGCCCTGCTGCCCACGCTGCTCTGGATGCAGCCCAGGACATGTTTGGCTCTCTGGGCTGGGAGTGCCCATGGCTGGGTCATGTCCAGCCTCCCATCCACCAGCACCCCCAAGCCTTTCATGGTAGGGCTGCTCTCAATTTCAGCTCTTTTCCTTTGATTTATTAACATGTCCAAAGAGGGTGCAATTTCTTCCAGTGTTTCTTACAATGTTTCTTACAATGTAAGTCATATATTTTATTACTTTATTATTTATTATTTTCACTTTCCGCAGCATTTCCATGAACATGTACCTGTTTGTATACGACTTAATGCAATTCTGTGGACATTCCTGGATATTTACAAATATGATCATCAGGTTCATGACATTTGGAAAAGGTAAGGCTCCTTCTCTATTTTCCTTGAACATTTTAAGTGGCAGTGACAGACACAAAGAAATATCAAATTAGAGATAAGATTCTGAACATGTGTATGTCCAGTACCAGGGACTATAATTCAATCAGAAAGACACTCTATTAAAAAGGCGGAACAAATTACTTGTGCTTGTCTTCTACCCGTGCCACACTGAGAATGAAGCTCTTGTTTTGTTAATGAACTTTCATATTCAGTAGCATGCTAGTAGCATTTGAATTAGACATAAACCTAAATGTGACTAGGTCCAGTCATTATGGCAAATATTAATCTTACTGAAGCCACTAGGGGAGAATATCTTTGTGGTTATTGTACATGACTATCTCCAAAACATTACAATATATTTATCTCTCTGTTGCCTGGGGTTAAGACACAGAACCAGGAAACCAGTGACTGGAAATTTAAAGTGTCTTATAATGGTGGTCAGTTGTAGGCATATAAAATGCCTACTTCCTGGACTACTTGTTTTCAGCAGTGCAGATACAGGCAGGAACTCAACATCTCCTAGTGTTTAGAAATTCCTCATGCATTTCCTCAACATTTTCTCCTATTTAGAAATACCCTAAAGCAGTTATCTCTAAACCAACACATCCTGCACAGTATTTTCCCATGCATTAAGTATAGGGATTTTAATTATTTTCTCAGCTTTGTGCCTCTGTATCAGAGCCACACACACAGAGCAGATTGCCTCCTCCACCCTCTGAAGCTTTTCTTCTGCTACCCAGAAGTTTGGTACTGCATAAACTTTATTTCTTGTCATCTCCAGTGATGACAGGGTAAAAGCAAACCCAGTAGTTGCCCCAGACTTTTACTGTATAACCATCCTCTCATCTTTTAATTTTGTCTGTAGATTCACTGGCTGACACGTTTCACTCCATAGGACTTGTAATGCGCCTTTGCCAGTTGTTATCTGTATTGGAGATCCTACACATCCTCATCGGCATTGACAAAAGCCGTCTCCTCCCCAGGTTTTTGCAGGTAAGTTCGTTCTCAAGACTCTCCTCTCATGACCAACACACATCAACCATGGCTGCCCCTGGGCACAAGCCCAGGCTGAACTACCCTGAATACTGTACCTGCACCCTTCCTCAGGCAGCCTGGTTTGCTGATAGTTTGCTAATTGCAAATCGCTTCCTCAGAACTGGGCTGGTTGAGAAAGAACTGTCCTGTCAACTTACTTCTTTTTGAATGAAACTGAATCATGAGTACCCCATGCTTGGTCCCCAGTGCAGATCCAGAAAATTTCCAGATGAGTGGCAACCAGCAGAAGTGGGTCAGTGGCCAATGGCAGTGATCAAATTAAACTCCAGGGGGGCTTGGCCCTTCTAAGTTTCTCCCTACATAACCTCCCAGCATCCCTGTAGTCCCCCGAAATTATCTTCCCCTCTTTCCAGAGGTGATGCACTCTCTTCTTTTACCCTGACATCCACTAAGTTCTCTGTTTAACCAGGCTGGTCTTTTTCAAAACTAGTAGTTTGTTTTATGTTCAGCTGCAGGCAGAAAACCAGCCAAAGCATCACACGCTATAGCAGAAAGTAAGGTGACACTCTGACATTTTCCTTGCCGCACTATTCTTTTTTTCCTTTTGGGTGCTAATCTCAGGTTTTGTTATTTTTTCTTAATGCATTAGAAAAAAGCAAAATGATGACTTGGATTTACCTTCAAACCTTTTCAATCCTGTATCTGCATAATGGTGAAACTCATATTTCTCTCAGCAGTCAGAAGGTAGAAGACCAAGAGTAGTTAGTTATGTTTTTAGTTTTCTGGATAGCCCATTTTTGTCAAATGATGTATTCATGGATCAAGATGTTCCTCTTTTCAAATCTCTATTAACTGTCTAAATAACTAATTAACTAATTGACTAATACAGATCTCTGTTCTTTACACTGCTCCCTAAGTATGGTAGCAAATTCATCAAAATGGAAATAGCTGCTTTTCCCTGCCTAAATCCTTTGATTTACATACTTTGATGCTAATCTAGGGGAGAATGAAGACTCCTGTCTAGTATGACCTGTAACAAACCTCACATGTCATGGAAAGAAGAGCAGCCTGCTCTTAGTCATTAAAACAAGCCTTGTCCTGGCAGAGTTTACACATTCCCCAGCCTTGACATAATCTGTTTCTTCCCTAGACAGACTTGCACAAGGCAGAGATCAGGGAAGCTTGCACAAACACTGTTCTCTGTTGCCACAAATGACATTAGTATGAAATGTATATTCTGAGCAAGAAAACTGTGACCTTTCTTGGGCAGTGCAGTTTGTGCACTGCTCTTCTGGGCAGCATGGAGAGGCGGCTCAGGGAACCATGTGGCACTGTAACTCTCAGTGTTCACCTCACACCAAATATAGTTTTGGATCTTTGGTTCTTTCCCCAGCTGCACTCTCACCACAAACAACTCTCTTCCCTTGATGTTAACAGCAGTCTCATGCTGTCCAAACAAGATGTATAAGCTCTTTAGTGGAGACTCTGCTGTCCTGTGGGTCACCCACTTTTGCTGAGTGTAGGTTAAGCAGCTGTGTGCCGACACTAATCCCACATGCCTCATCACACTTTCTTCACTGCCTCTTAGGAAGAAAAAAAAGGTATGTTTTCCACAATGAACTAGGGCAGGACAGTTAGTTAAGAGATGTTTACCTTGCTGCAGCCTACTAGACTGCTGCACAATCGGGGCATTGATAAAGGTGCAAGAATTTGATAGTGGCTGCCTGGTTCTGTGCTCCCAATCACCTGTTCCAACCCTGAGCTTAACATATACCTTGTAACAGGTATATTCATGCACATCCACAGTGAAGTTCACCTTGGGTGATCACTAGGATTAGAGAAAAGCTGGCTCAGGCAATGTCAGGGAAGCACATGGATGAACAATGAATATATATAAAAGTATAAATGAACATTGAATAAAAAAAGCTGTGAAAGGGCCCCGTGGTGGCAGGTTGTTCTGTAGCAAATACATATATTTTACATATATATTACAGGAAATACAAGAGGTAAATGAATCCTTGAGTGAAAGATTTCTGCCTAGTATTGCATTTGTTGTGGTTTAGTAGCATTTCAGAAAAACACTTTGAGATACATGATACAGATAGTGGAAAAACAAACTCAGAGGAGTCTTCTGGAAAAACTCATTGAGGGACAAAGTCTCAGGCCACCAGGCACCTGAGAAGAGCAAGGCAGGTCAAGGCCAAGTCACACCATGAAAGAAAGATGAGTCCTGTGTGACGGATGTGCTGGGGTAAGGTGAGGCAGGGGATGGTCACAAAGCTGGTTCAAAGAGATGGCTCTCAGGCCATTTACACCTCAAAAAATTGGAGGAGGGCAGGAGAACATGTCACATGTCATTGTTGTCACCAAAACAGAAGGCAATGAAATGTGTTAGTCTGGCTAGGGAATAAAGGCTGACAGGACTGGCACCATAGCAAGGAGAGAGGAAAGGTCTAAGAAAAGACTAGCGTTTTTGTGAAACAAAGAGCAGTTCTTCATCCTGTGCAAACAGATTTGATTTACTAAACCAAAAGCAATGTACCATGGTTTTGTGATAAAACCATTATTTTTTCACATTAAATATAGTGACACTTTTCTCGCTTTCTTTTGGTTTTTTTTGGGCTTGTTTTTGTTTTGCTTTTTTGTTCTTTTTTAATATACACTAAATTGAAGAACTATGTAAGCATTTCAGGTACCAAGTACAAAATTGCACAGTCATAGTTATTAAAAAATGTAAGTGAATGGGCTATTTTCTCTAGCCAAATTTGCTCTGTTTTGCTGACTTGATTAAAAAACTCAGTCTGCCTTGCAGAAATTTATACCACTCTACAGAACTTGCTGCATCTTATGAGAGATCAGTGTCAGAAAAGGAAGGTAATTCCAATTTGATTTTAAAGAAGGAATGAAAATTGAAAACATTATGTTTATGCTTTATGATATGTTAGCACATCCTTCCTTTTTATGAATGTGAAAACACAGGACTTGTAGTTCTGTGCTTTATTTTTTATATATTTTAAAGCAAGAGAGTAGCTACAGAGAGTATCACATCTTCATTCATGCAAGGATGGATGATCCATACAGGAAACAATCCTTAGCTGAGCAGCAATACATGCATTTTATCTGTGTGTGTATATGTCTGCGTATTTATAAATGTACATGACTCCATGTGTATATGCATACATGTGTAAATATATCAACACAGTATTAACATACACTACTCTTCTTCAAGAAGTACCCTGTCTCCTCATTGCAGAAAATGTCCCCAGGCTTTTTGCTAAACACCTGCATCTACCTTTGATTTGTGTGGGTTACCTAAAGCTTGGAGTGCTATAAAAGGAAAGAGAATAAAGGCAAGCAGGCAAGCAACCTCCTGATTTATGCAGAAAAAGAGGTAGGATGCCACTGTCTGTTCTCATGGGGACATCACAATTGTCCTGAGCAGCCAGCTCTGTGTCCTTCCCCACAGATGTGCTCCAGACCAAGGCCAGGTCCTTCCAGTTTCAGTGTCTGGTGGCTGCAGCCCATTGCTTGCCAGATGAGACTGCAGTCTGACAGGAACAAAATACTTTAAGGTGACCAGTTTGTGCCATGTGGAATTTCCTGCTCTTGCAAGTGCTTAAGATTACAGTGTGATTACTGAGTTCCATCATGTGTAATTAGTAAAGCTGCATGACTCTCACCTTCCCCAGTATGAATCTCTGATGGAGGAAATCTGCTGAGCCCCAGGGAGGTGGTTCTCACTGCCTCATGTTTCTGCTTGTATCCTGGGAAGAGAAGACAATCCACAGCTGCTTCTGCTTCCATGTTATAAGGCTGAAATGTGGTCATTCTGTCCAACTGGCCAGCACATATCCATTTGAAACTGGAGTTTCAAACTGGAGTTTGAAATGGTAACTACCTTCCTACTGCTTGTCCTTTCTCTCACTGAAATGGGATCAGATCCCGATCATTTATCTCATGCTGTTTTTTAGCACATTTCCACCCAGCCACTTTTTGAAAAGTGAGTGACCATTCGTAAAATCTTCCAGCTCTGACATCCAAGAACATGTCCATCTTTTCACTATCATGATAAAGTCCTTGGTCTCTAGGACAACTACCTGTGGCAAATCCCTGAAATACATCTTGCATTAACAGTTTTCCAGAACTTTCTCTCCACATCTCAAGTCTGATTTTAGGGTCAGTAACAAAACGGCCACACCATCAATGCGCCATTCTTTACCACTCTTCATCTAACAATTTTAACTCAGATTTTATCTGTTCTCTCCAGCACACAATCTCACCCAGTGCTCACATGGCTTTTACCTTTGTTTTGATTTCCTACTTGGGACGGTTGCCCTGCTGTGTTTCTTGTACCTCTGTTCTATCTGGTTTCAGATCTGCATCAATACTTCCAGTTCCCCCATGTTTTTGCCATGTTCCTCAGCATCAGTGTATAAGCAGAGGACATATATGAGCTCTCACTTTCTGTTTCCTGACCCATCTATACAAAAGTCTACCAACATCTGACCTTTTTAAAAATCAGTTCCTCAGTTACAGACCTATGGGATCAGCAGCACAAGATGACGGTCATAGGAGGGTGAGAAACAGGAAAATGTTTTTAGCTGTTGTGGCCCCCCCGTGCTTTCCAAGATGAGGAACCAGATCCCTGGGGGATAGGCATGCTCTCTTTCTGTATGAAAAACTGCTCTGACGTAATTTTGCTGAATAGTGAAGGCTGCTTTATCTGACAGATGTGGTTTATGAAAAAAAAAGAGTTGGTGACCAGAATGGTCCATGCAGGAACCTGTAAATATTATGTAGCAAAACTACTGCACAAACTTGCTGAGAGGCAAAATTCTTACTTTGTTTAAGGCAGGAGTCCAGGGAAACCAATGAAGAATAACAGCTCTTATAAAAACAACCTTGGTTAATCCACTTTCATTTTGTAACTTTTAACTGACTTAACATCTGAACTTGTGAAATCATTACAACTAACATACCTTATGGAAGACATGGCATTGGGTAAAAAAACTCAACCCAATGAAGCTGTATCAATTCATACCAACAGCTTAGGTGTATGTTTTCTACTTCAACACTTTCAAATAGAGTATAAATCAGAATGAATTGTTACTGTTCTGGGACAGTTTGACAATTCTTGGCAGTACTGATACATTTACTTTACAGGACAGGGCATAGATACTGTTAGAAGAGTTGTCAGGAAAGCTGCAAAAAGACACACTTGTTTTTAATTTCTTGAATTTTAGTATTACCAAAGTATTTATTTTAAACTGGAGACACTGCCTGTTTAATCTACTTTATCTTTTCATTTGTGGGTTGGATAAAGTTCAACCACTAGAAAAATTTTAGGACTTAAATACTATTGCAATCATTCATGTAAGTGACAAGCTTAAACCCACTTCCCATAACCAAGAATAAGATAGAAAGAAGATAAGAAATTCTACTTTTCCTCCTTCTTTCTGCAAATCTTACATGAAAGAGATTCCAGATTTCCAAGATATGAAAAACAGATCTGGGAGTGCAAGATTAGTACCTTCTGGCATATGATCCCCCCAAGAAGGGCCTTCTGTACCCTACTGCCTCCCACAAAGCCTACAAACAAGGAAGCTTATCCCTGCCAGCCCTCTGTGGAGTCAGGTGCAGCAGGAGTAGTCTTTGCTTCCATGACCTCTCTGGGCTAATTGACAGGTTTTCTTGGCTACAAACCCAAGCCTTCCCAGTTGGAAAGCCAACTTCCACAAGTACCACAACAGGTCTTTCATGCTACAGCCAGCAGTGGCCACTGCTCTTTGCTGCAGGACCTTGAACAAAAGCAGGCCATGAAACAAAATATTCACTGCTGATTTTGTGTAAAGAAAACTGGATCCACTTGTGGCCCCCTATTTTGCCAAAATGCCACAGAAATAACAGTTACAGAAGGCACTACCTGAATTCAAAGTTTTCTTTTCTTTTCAGATCATGGAGAGAATAATTGTTTTATTTGTCGTGATCAACAGTCAGGAAGAAGTTCAAGGGAAATATGTCGTGTGTGTTTTATTTTTCCTTTGGAATTTATTAGATGTGGTCAGGTAAGGAGTCAACATCAAAACCATGAGGAGAAAATGGGTTATTACTGCCAGCAGAACTCCACCCCCATTGTGCAGCAGGCTCATTTAACTGTTTCAAAATTGGCAAAGCGTATTATCCCTTTTTAAATAAAACCTTGAACTTTTAAAGTTACGTAGTGATTTTTTTAAAGAATCCACATGGTTAAGAGGCAGAGTAATTTACAGATGTAAGATGGAGTAATACATTAGCAGACTGCATTAACATTTGTAGTTCAAAGGCTTTGATGTTTTTAACAACAATTTAAGAAGGCAATCACAACTACTTTCTGGAGAACAGCAATTCCTGAAACCATCCTGGTTGCCATTACCACCCTGTTGCTTTATTATTTTACTTTTTTATTCAGTTTGAGCCAAGATTTACAGCACAGTAAGGCAGCACCAGCAGAACTTCTTGCAAAGGCAGAAAGACTATTGTGGATTAACTGGACTGTGGTTTCCAAAAAGCCAAGAGCTGCTGCAGGAGACTAACAGTTTTGGTATAGCAGGGCACATATCACACCACAAGAACAACAGATATTTCCCATATGTAATGTAAGCCTCTGTGCACCTCAGTTTGTAGACTTAGAACAGGTACATACAGAATTAAGAAGCATTTTAAGAAGATACAGCAGCAACTAATGTATAGCAGCAAAACTTTTTTTTCTGCTAAAATGGCTTTCTGCTAATTTAAATATATTGCTTAGGGGGCTGACTGAAGAACATGGTTTTAGGTAGCATAGGAAACTTATGTTATAAAAGAGAATTGAAACAGGAAAGTGTCAGAGAGAATTGATAAAGATTTTAAGTCAGCTTCAGAGTATTTTGCAATATATTTTAATAGGCTGCTACTTGTATTAATTGATTATAGTTTCATCCCATTTCTTTTTGAAGTTTGTAAAACTAAAACAGTAGAATCTAATCTGAATGAAAGGGTTCAGTGCAGCTGGAGAAACGCCAGAAGTATAATAAAATATTGGCTGTGAAGTCCTGTCAGTGCATAATAGTACCAGTGATGCAGCATTATTTTCTACCCTTGCTAAAGAACAGTTAAGCAGCACAGCAGTAACAGCAGGAAAGCTACTGTGGTCTGTAGCAGCAAATGACCAATTCAAATAAAGCATAGTACAACTCATAAAAATTTAGAATTCTTACCTGATTTATTTTACAGCATCTGTGCCATATCCTAGTATCTCAAAGAAGTATTCATATCTAGAAGTGCACAGGCATCTCTCCCATCCTTTAGCCAATTACTCTTAAGTATTACAAGTTTTTCCACATAAACTTCTCGGGACCTAAATTTCTCTGAAGGGCTATTTATTACGCATCATGGCTAGTGATATATGGAGACTAAGTTTGCACCCTTCCTGCTTATACAGTAACAGCCCATGGAATTGTGTAGAGAGGGAGTAACTGTTTCCTTTTTGTATTTGGTTGGGATTCAGCCTTAAAAGCAACAATAATTAAAAATTATTTTAATTATCCTGAGGTTGCGGAGGGCAACTTTGAGAGACAATGGTCCATTTTCAGCCTACCACACTCTTCTACAGTCCAGATACAATGCAAAATTAATCAAATTAATCAGTAAGAAGGGAATACAGGAAGTGTGTTTAACACTAGTTTCATCTATCAGAAAGTCTTGGGTAACAGATTTACACATCTCTAGCAAGCCCACAGTGCAAAAAGTCTTTCAGGTGACCAAAAATGCAATCAGACCTGTTTCTCCAGTGTTTGGAGAGCTGCTGTACCACTTTAAAATCAAAACAAGATTAGCTCACTTTGGAGTCTGACAAGATTAGTCACCTTTGGAGACTGAAGTACTAAGCATTCTGGTCTCCCAGTGAGGAACAGTAAGAGCCACAGTAAAAAGAATATGCTGCAATACACTGGTGAGCAACTAAGGTCCAGGAGAAGGGCAGATGTAATACAGGTTACGTACCTGCAATTGCCTTCCTGTTTAACCTTCTCCTAGCCTAGCACTGATTCAGCTAGGTCAGTAGCCAAATCAGGACTGTCTCGGTCACAAGTGACAGTGATATTCTGCCTGCCCCTCTCAGTTGCAACACCCCCATCTAAAATCCATTTTCTGATGGACCTGTATGAAATAATGCTGGTTTCTGATGGAGCTTTCTATCTGGAAGGCTTTATACCTGCTCTAATGTAGCGCCATAGATAACTCTTCTGAAAAAATGGACCATCTACTTTCAGGGATTGGAGTCTGAACAAAAACTGTTGCTGGCTCTGAAATTTACTCAGACAGCTCCAAGCTCTTCTGAAATTCCTTTGAATTTTCCAACAGTATTTCTTTATTCCAAAGACATCATAATTTCCTCTGAGCTCATCTGCTTTCCTCTTATTGCAGGTACATTTACAACATGCTGGCAAGGATGGGCCTACACTACCTACCACTAACATGGCTCAACTTCTCACTGTGCATCCCCTTTTATCCCCTTTCAGTTCTGGCTGAAGGTAAGGAAGTGGGAAGGGTACCAACTATTTGCCTCCTTAATATTCTTCAGTAAAATGTCACTTGCTGTTTTGTTTAAAATAGTTCCTCATGTGTTGCCAAAGCTGTCATAAATGTTCATGTACCTTCATATTAATGTATGTCACTTCTGTCTCACTTTTCTGTTATTTTTTCTTTAATGGGGACTATCTGGGATTTGGGGCTTGTGTGTCTGGTAGGTTTTGGGGTTTTTTGTTTTCTTGATTTTGTTTTTTTTTTAAAATATGGGAAAGTGTTCTTTTTTGTAAAGCAGAAAGCAATCCTCATAAAAGACATATGGATTCCTCCCTTCCACACTGAGTACACTAGACAGCAAGTTCCAAAGCCTTTCCCCCGCTGAGGCTGACCTTACTGGCTCAGGCCATACTTAGCAAGGTATCTTACCTACATCAAGAACTCTGCCCACTGAAAGCATTTGTTTCTGACAGAACTTCTTAGCGAACAGAATATACTTACTAATTCTAGTATTTAGAGCAATTAGCACCCCAAACCTATAAAACTGAACTCAAGGAGAAAACATGCATATTTATATGAATGCATATGTATGTATAGGTATATAAAATATTAACGGTAATGAAGTTGTTCATTACGCTTTTTGATGATCTACTTCCTTTAGACTAAGGATTTACCATGTTTTTACAGGATTTGCAATTTGTGTATCACTGCCTTATTTTGAATCCTTTGGCACATACTCAATCAAGCTACCATTTCCATTCACCTTCTCAATCTACTTCCCCTATGTTCTGAAAATGTACCTGCTAGTGCTCTTTGCAGGTAAGTATCTCGTCTTCCAGAAAGCTGGGTCTCAACACAACTGGGATGCCTATGGCAACAAAAAATTAAATCCATGCTGAGCCTTTCACAAACTCTAACTCTCTCTGCTACATCTCCTGCAGACCACTGCAGGAAAGTGCATCACTGTCTGTTTCGATTTCCAGTATCTTTCAAATACAAATAGTTAAATTTTCAAAGTACACCATACATATGATGCATAAAACCACAAACCTATAGAAGTTGTTTCAGTGATGCTAGACTTGCAGCTGTTTAATGAAACTTCCTTTTCTGTTTGCTTTTTTTAAAAAAAAAACAATTCCTATCTGATCATACTCTGGTTCTGTGCAACTCTTCCTCACTCGTAACTCCTAGCTGGGATGAGAAGTTATATCTAAATGAAGACTTTTACAGCATGATTATTTAATGGCATGATAAAACAAGGCCACTCCAAAACCTGCGTGTAAACAGATCCCTTCTCTTTCTCATCAAAATACTTTGGAAAAATTTCAACTGATTTTAGCTGCATCATACAGAAGTCTTTGTTCTGTCATGGGGTTTTAATGTGAATTCGAAGGATCTCATGATGTAGTGTTCTGTTCCTAAGCACATGGAAGGAACTGTGCAAGGTTGAAGGCTCTTACAGTTCCTTCTAAATAAATTGAAGACAGTTTGAATTTTACTCCTTTGTTCTTACACTGTTTTGTGTTTTGATTCAGGTATGTGCTTTATCATCCAGAACCTCTTCTCTGAGAGAATGGCACACCTAGGGACAGGAAACATCAAAAATAAAAGAAGCTAAGTTGATATTTTGTTTGGAAAGACAAAATATATTCCATGGGGATTTCTGCACATCATAGTTAAAACCAAACTGGACAAAGATTTCTCAATGCAAAACTCCTCTTTGCATGAACATTATCTGGCTGTATAGAATTTTCAGAAAAGGCAGATCTCTTGAATGCACCTCAAAAATAGAGCAGCTTTTGAAAACTTTTGGATGTTTTGAGATCAAGTGGCCAGTTTTTAAAATTAATGTTTTTTTCTAGTACATGTTATGGAATTCTGAAAAAACTGGAGAGTGCCACAACTCACAGCTACACCCTTATTTCAGTGTTAATTCTTATTTCATTAGCTACAGATATTCTGTAATGACAGTATAATTTCATCTCTAAGGTTACTTTATACTAGGCCAACGTGTATGTACTTCACATATAAATGCTAAATTGGCTAGAACTAGAATCTCTCAAAGAGCAGAAATCAGAACCTTTGCAGCCTAGAGACAAACATGCTGATTAACGCAGGCATTCACTAAGGATCCTTCACATTCTGGCCTCATACTTCAGTTATCAGAAAAAGGTTCCAGCAAATGCAGCTAAATCAGAAAGGCAAGTGTTACCATACTCATCTACTATATATTCAGGGGGATGTTTAAGGGTCAGAAATAAACACTTATAATCATGTGTTTGGCATGTCAGTCTCTTCCCTCACAATGATTTTCTTCTGCTGAACAGCAGACAGATGCATGCAAATTAAATGTGATGTAGTCAGGTCAAAATATATGTTGTTCCTAAAAGGGATCTGAATGACTATCAAAAGCCATGTGCAAAATTCTAGGCATTTTACTCAACTGTATTGCTCCTCATACTCCTCTAGAATAATGTAAGAATGCAAATAGAACGCAGCTTTTTCAAAGGTTGGGAAAGAGGAATATATGCAGCAACCCAGTGGAACAGGCAAAAACAGCCACATAATTCCTTAGAGGCTGGCTGGAGCTTTTCTGACGTTTCATCTGTATTGATTATGACCTACATTTCAATTCAAGCATGTGGGGGAGAAAAGTGAGGCTATCTTTTTTTTTTGCTGACTGAAAACTGTGGGAAGGGAGCCTAGATAATGGGAGTAGGAGAGAAGGTAATATTTAAAGGGGGACCAAACACTGTTACAATATGAAGAGGCTTTCGCCTGTATGACTTTTCAAACCATGCAGCCTAAGAGGTTATATAAGGAAACAGTGAAGCTAAATTGATTGGTTATGAAAGGTCACCTACTATAATTTTTATTTATTTAATAATTGTGGCAGACAATGCCTGCAGACTATTTTGACCATCGAGTATTTGCGGACCATAAGCAACAAGATCATGCATACAATAGTATAGTGTCAACCCTGGATTAGTTTTTTGCAGACCACTCCAAACAGAAATTTGGAACTTAGTAGAGAAACAGGAGTGCTTTCACTTTGGGCTTCTGTCTGACCCAAACGGATTCAAGTGTGAGCAGTGTGAAGAAACATACAGAACAGCTGAATAAGGTAAGAGTTTTGAAGACAGCCAGATAAAGTCCACATTAAACCACATATAACTTGCTAAAGTTGAAGCATAAACATTTTTTCCTTGGAAATTCAATCCAACATGCCAGAAACAGCTGGTTCCACCGAGTTCTAAGACTAAGCCTCTGCAGGATGCTGCTGAGCCAAACAACAAAGATCATGGCATGGCATCTCTCTGAAAACTTTAAGAAAAGGTAAGAAATGTTACACAGCAGCTGCGAGAAAGAAGAGCAAGAAAAATGTAAGAGAAACAGCTCAGTAGACACCAAGGTCAATGGAGAAGGTCATGAAGAGCTACTTTAGGCACTGCAGCAGATTACCCTGTGAGTCATGGTGTACCAGGTTGCCCCCTTGCAAGCCACGGAGAAACACACCAGACAAGATATCCACATGGCAGCCTTTGGAGGATGCCAGGCTGGAGCAGGTGGCTGTGCCCTGAGGAAAGCTGCAGCCCAAGAGCCCACACAAGCACAACAAGAACTGTGGCCCATTAGGGACCCACACTGAGGCAGTTTTTTCCCAATGGACTGTACCCCATGGAAAGAACCTATGCTAGAGCAGTGCTTGAAGAGCTGCAGCTTGTGAGAAGAAACTGTGAAGGACTGTATCCCATGGGAGGGACCCCATGCTGGAGCAGAGCAACAGTGTGAAGACAAACAAGCAGCTGAGATTAAGGTTTATTACCCAAGTGCAACCCCCACACCCACCTTGTACTGCTTGGGGAGGTAGGAGGTACAAAATGCAGGAATGAAGGAGTAAAGGGAGCATAGAAAGAAGGGAGGCATAGGGGAAAGGTAATTATAGTTTTGCCTTTTTTCTTCCCATCCTACTCTATTTTTAATTAGCAATAAATTTTTCTTCCACAAGTTGAATCTGTTTTTGTGACAGTGAGTAGCAAATGATCACTCTGTCTTTATCTCGACCCATGAACTTCTCATCCTATTTTCTCCTGTCCTGTTGAGGAGGAGGAGGGAGAATGAATGTCCTGTTGAGGAGATGGGGTTGAACGGACATCTGGAAGCCAGCTGAGGTCAAACCTATCACAGATTAAGCCACGTTTATTGTTTTATGTTAAAAAAAATGTTATGTCTTGAATCTTACTGCTGGGTAAAAGGATGGAATAGGAAAAGGATTCTTTAAAATTCACTATGGAGAGGACCCCAAAACGTAAACTGCATGAAAAAGGCATGAAGCTCATGACAGAAGACTTCCCGACCTCCTTCTAGTACAGAGGCAACTTGGGGCAGTCAGCCTTCCTACAAAAGGCCACTGTAACTTCAGCTCCAATGCTTCACCTAAGTTTCTGGAAAAGCTCAGGAATGGGCAGGCAAAAAGATGTTTAAGACAATGGCTTTTATGACAATGAATTGTACTTCAGTGATTGTAGTCTGTTAGGAAGGGACTCAAAAAAGAGCAAAAGAAGCTCTGGCAACAGATTGGCCAATTTGGTGAGAGGGCTTTAAACAGAATGACTTGGCTGGGGTCCAAAGTGGCAATGCTCATGCCACTGCTTTCTCCTGGGGAATGGCCATGCCAACCAGGCAAGTTTGGCTGCCTCAAGATGAGAGTCCTAGGGCTAACCACACCAAGGGTGTGTATGGCTATGGGGAATCCTCTTACACCCCTCCTAGGGAACCTGGATGCTCGACTACCTCCCTGAAGTGTGTGTACACATATGCACAAATCAGGGGGAATAAACAAGATCTGGAAATCTATGTCACAGAGCCATGATCTCACTGCAATTTCAGAGGCATGGTGGGATAGCTCACCACTGGAATGTTGTCATGGATTCTTGTGTACTTTTTAGAAAGGACAGGTCAGTGAGGCGAGGCGGTGGAATTGGTCTTTATGTGAAAGAACATCAAGCTTTGCCCAGGGAAGACAAAGAATTGAGAGCTTATGGGTAAAAATTCAGGGACAGGCTAAAATGGGTGACTCAGATAAGGAAGCTGATGAGGCTTCTACGGGCAGCTAGAAGTAGCCTTGAGATCATGGGCCTTGGTCCTCCTCTGAGAATTCAACAACCCTGATATTTTGAGGCACAATGTGGCTTGGAACACAGTCCAACAAGTTCCTGCAGATACTGGAAGATAACTTGTTAATCCAAGTGGTGGAGAAGCCAATGAGGAGAGTGCCCTACAGAGGTCCCTTCCCACTCCAATAATTCTGTGATTCTGTGAACTTAAATGGTTGTATATTGAGACACCAGCATCTCCAGATCTTTTTATGCAGGGCTGCTCTCCAGCCACTCCTCTACCCATTTAGACTTGTATCAGGCACTACTCTGTACCAGATGCAGAATGCACCACTTTAACTTGTTACATTTCATGCCATTAATCAAAGCCAAATGCTCATGTATCTACATCTTTCTGCAAGGTCTCTTGTCCTCAAGAGTCAACAGCAACTTTCAAGCTCAGTATTGTCAACAAACATACTAATGGTGCATTCAACTCCTGCCTCCTGATCATGGATAAATACATTGAACTGAACTGGTGCTAGATTTGAATTTTGAATTTGAATGAGGAACACTGGGTATGACTTTGTCAACCCCATGCACTACAACTCTTTGAGCTCTGCCATTCTGCCAGTTCTTTGACCAGTGCACCACGAACCCTCTCATCTCACTGTTGAACAGCTTGTTCAGACAGATGTCATAAGGGACAGTATCAAAAACCCCACTAGGTGGGTGGCTGTGTCATAGAAGGGTATCAGATGAGTTACTCAGGGCTTTCCCTTTGTGAACTCATGTTGACTGTGCTTGAGGGTTGTATTGTTCTTAAAATGCGTTTCAATAGTACCCAGTATGATCTCTGCAAATTTTCCCTGGTAATGAGATTAGACTAACAGGTCTGTAGCTGTCTGTGTCTTGCCTCATGCCCTTCTGGTAAACTGGATTAATGTTGGCCAGTTTCTGGTCAGCAGGGATCTCCCCAGACTCCCAAGAGATAGCTCTTCTAGTGCTCTGGGACAAATCCCATCAGGCCCCATAGGCTTACAAAGATTAAACTGATATACTTACTCCTTTAGAGTTTCAGTGTCCAGAAATGGAAAGTCACTGCTACTGTATGTCCTCTAACCGAGAAGACTGGCCAGACTAATGTATATTGATGTTATTAATGACTGATGCAAAAGCATTGTAATGCTTCTGCCTTCTCTTCATCCTTTTTTCAGAATTGGTTGAATATTTTCCTTAAATCTCCTCTTGCTCTAAACATACTCAGACTTTCTTTATCTGACCCAACACTGGCCAGTTTCAACTCTGAGCTTTGGACTTTTGTGTTTTCTCCCTAGACATGGGAACCACAGCTTTGTAACCATACTGTGAGGCACAACCTGTCTTACACAGATCATACCATTTATTTTCTTCCCAAGTTCCAAGAGGAGCTTCCTGTTCAGTCAAGCTGCTCTTCTGCTTTTCTTGCTTGACCTTTGGAATAGTGTAATTTGCTTGCTCCTGTGCTTCTAAAAGGTTTTTCTTAAAGATGGACCAGCACTTGTGGATCTCTAAGTCCTGAAAATCAGATTCCCAGAGGACACTGCTAACTAGCTCCCTGAGCAGTTTAAGATTTGTTATCCTGAAATCTAGGATAGCAGCTGTGCTGACTTGTTTCGCAGTTACACCAAAAAATTTAAATTCATAATTTAAACTCATGATTACTGTGCCCAAAACAGCCACCTAAAAATCCCATCTTCTCCCTCTCTATTCATGAACAGCAAGTTGGGGATGGGGGGAGGGGTAGAGGAAGGGACATCTTTCCTGGTTGTCTCGATGAATACTTGGGACAAGAAATTATCTTCAACACACTTCTGGAATTTCTCAGACTTCCTTGCCACACTTGTCTGGCATTTCCAATAGACGTCCAGAAGCTGAAATTTTCTGTAAGAACAAGACTAATGGACCAGAGATTTCTCCTTGTTGCCCATAGATTATTTAATCAGTGCTAGCACTGTGGCTGAGTGAACAGCAGTAGACACTTAGAATGATATCTGCTTTGTTTTCCATCTCCCTAATTCTTACTCAGAGGCTTTCAACCACATTATCCCTAATTGCAAGGAATGTACAGCAAAAATTGTGCCTCCAATGCAACTCCTTTGCCTTGCCTGCCTTGACTATCCCTCCTGAACAGCCTCTAG